ACATTGTTATTTTAAATTACTGAATAATTAATAATTAATAAGAATTAATTGAAACGATTGTGTACTGCAAAACCAATGTTCTATTCTATGTATTTTATTCTATAATGTAATATAACATATATGTATATAATCTCGTCATAAATTATGCCTTGTATGATTTTAGAGTCGGAGACTATAAGCTGATTACAGGACACCCCGATTTATTGTATCCATATCGGGATATCAGTTTAACAGGTAAACACATATCGAATACTTGATTGTTATCAGAACCAATTGCAAGGTACTGAACGATTACTGTATGGCGGACGTAGTATGGATAGTGAAGGCAGTGAATTTGCATTTATCCTTTCTCAATGTGACACCACCATTTAAAGCACGTCAATGTATATTTATTTCAGATAACTATTACAACTACGGTGACCCCCCAGCAAGCGGATTGCCAAGTACAGACCAAGAGGCAAACGCACCAGCTCCACAGAACGTTGAATACTTGTTCAATGTCGTAGGTAAGAATGGCGTTTATGTTTGAGAATGAAAAGAATTAAATACATATGATTACATGCAAAATATGAACATAAACACATATGGATATAGATATACACACGCACAGTTACAACTACGGAAAAACATATTGTCCCTGAAAAATGATTAGAATGTAATGTCATTTCCAAAGTAAATTTTACACTGATTCAACACAAAAGTGATTAAAAAGCTCGAAATTGTATCATGAAACGTTACTGTTACCTTCAATTAGGGTTATCTTTAGTTTTACACCGGTGACATCAATGGTAATCTGGTCGACATTCTACTCGTTCAAAAACTAAACTTGACTTGGCGTGGGACGATGGCCAAATGTATGAAAACACATTGACTACTAATGTCTCCCTTTCAATGCAGTTGACCCAGAGGAAAGAAACGACATCTCAGCTGATAATCAAGATATAGTACAAGATTTACGTGATCGATTGGATGAACATCGTAAACTGCTAATTCCACCGGTAAACCAAACAACAGAGCTAGCTGGTGCCGCCGGAAATTTCAATGATGTCTGGTCACCTGGTTGGTGTTAAATCAACTGATACGTAAACTCAAAACATGCGACATTCCCTACATTTTAAATCTAGCTATCCATTCTATCGCATTCCTTATTATTCGATTATTGATGTCTAATATTATTTAATTTGTTATTTCACAGACAATATCTCATTTGTAGATTTCTGATACATGTGATATGAATATCTTTGCTTACGTCCGCAGCATGTAGACTCGTTTGATATAGCTAGATATTTGTGGAACGAGGTTGTTGTTTACTACGTGATTGGCTACTAACGAGACAGCACATTGTATGACATACTCAGGAAAAACATATCACTTGTTATCAATAATTTTAACTCATGGATTATTTTGTTTCATTTTCAATGGTATCAAATAAATGTTCATTGTTACGATGAAAAGTGTTTCTCAGTAGTACATTTTGAAAGGAGCGTGGATTATTATTTTTATTTACTTAACCGAACTATTATGAGTTCCCTGGGAGTATACAAATCAATGTTAATGTTATAATCTTTTTCAATATTTGACTGATTTGATACTTGAGTAGGATTTGAGAGATGCCAAGGAAATTTAACCGAAAAATATGAATTGGCATGCACATGAAACATTTTAATTTTGGTGAACTTTGATCGAAATTCCACCTAAATTAATTAAAAATCAAATTCCAGTATTTTGAGGGCAATAATCTGCGACACACTTCCCCCAAAAGGACGTGACATTTACTGTTTCCCGGATAAAACGAGTAAATAAGTGTGCATATATCATCTCTTGTTAAGAATACATATTGGTGACAGCTATTTCTCTTTTTCCCTGACTTTGTCAAACCTTCGAATAACAGATTCAGATTCATGCCAGTTTGTACACAGTATATCTGGTCCTAAATTCTATTTGCGTCTAAGATAGTAACAGTTACCACACGAAGAGAAGGATTTCTTCACTTACCCGATCATCGTTTCTCTTTATTTTATTCTCTGACCCGTGTTTCTCCCACGACCACGTTGTCGTAGCCACAATCCGGTTCTGGGTGCTGAGTGTTACACTCGTCATTTGGTTCTTGTCAGAAAGCATTACAAACCAAATTGAGCTTCTGAACGTCACTTGGCGTAGTTTGGTTGGTAGCTGCTGTTTACAACTTTATTTTGGGCATATTGCGCCATTAAGCTCCTTTACCCCCCGTTTTCAACTTTGTTTTCGACTCACACTCAACATTCAAGACGGTTGTCGAGACAGCACTGCATGAATTAGTGTTAACATATTCTTCGTAAACCTGTTTGATTCTATTCTATTCCCCAAAACCGACAAGTCATGGAATGCTAATAATTCAGACGTCATCTTCTTGACAATATCATTTAATACAAGCACAGAAAAATCTTGCAAACGGTTTTCAGAGTTGCATCAATACATAAACGGTGCTTTTTAGAGAAAAAATCGTGTATACTTGTTTTAAAAAGAGTAAATTTCTAATTTACTACATTAT